GATCAAGAACGGCGAAGAAATTATAACCAAGGTACCCCAAATGGGTAAGTTGTTCATCCTGTAATGTATTCCAGCAGAATCAGCAAACATCCGCAAAGATACTGGTCTGATTTCGAAACCAGTCAGTTCAAGTATTTGGAATGCCCGGTTGGGACATTTGCCGATGAAGACGATGAAGTCCATCGGAAATCAAGTAAACGGCTTCAAGATGAAAGATCTACCTGAAGATAATGTCGAACACGACGAATTTCGCGAAGGATGTGTGACTGGGAAGTCCACAGTCGAGCAATTTCCTAAATTGGAACAAGGAAAAATCAAGACCAAACAGCAACTACAAGTCGTCCACAGTGACGTGATGGGTCCAATGGAGACCACATCGCTAGGAGGTGCAAGATTCGTCGTAACATTCATCGACGATTTTAAGATACGTGGTGGCATATTTTATCACCTACAAGTACGAAGTTGTCAACCGATTTATCGACTACAAGCCAATGATGGAGAACCAACTCAATGCAAGGATCAAGTGTATTCTAACCGACAACGGCGGCGAATACATCAACAAGAAATTTAACGACATCTGCCGCAAAGCCGGCATCGTCCATCAAGCCACGGTCCCATATTCACCCCAACAAAACGGGCTTGCGGAACGGATGAACCGCAAGTTGACTGAACGCGCAAGGTCAATGCTCAACTACATGCAAGTGGACAAGAAGTGGTGGGCTGAAGCATTCAACACGGCAGTTTACGTCACTGACCGAATTCCGTGTGCCGCTCACCCAAAATCAACACCATTCGAAAAATGTTTCGGAAGAGACCCCGATCTCTCCAACATGCGTGTTTTCGATGCTCAAGGATTTGCACACGTCGACAGAAAAAAACGAACCAAGCTCGACAAGAAGGCATTTCGATGCATGTTCCTGGGTCTTTTGGACGAGGTCAAAGGCTTTCGCGTTTGGAACATCGAGTCGAACCTAGTGGAATATTCTCGCTTAGCAGTATTCCAAGAAATTCAAAAACAATTGACCCAACGTCTACGACTCGATGATGACGAAAAAATTTCAACGCAACCACGACCGAACCAAAATTCCGAACTGGAACCGATGATTGTCGACCAGTCAGGAAACGACACCTCGAATGTTCCTCCAGCCGGAGAAAACATTGTTCAAGCACCAGGACAACCTCGCCAATTTGTT